TACGAACAAAAGTAAGAGAAATTTAGGAGAAGAATACGAACATGTTCTTGCATGAGGCCCAATGAACTGAAAGCCAGAAACTTAGGAAAAAAACAACAAAAACAAACAAAACAGATACACATGACTCCATGTGACAGCAAAGTGTCTGGACTACAGCTGGCCCTGACCTGCTCTCCATGTCCAGGCAGCGGCGATTGGCCATGAGGATCTCTTCCTCCTCCTTCTGGATTCGAGCTTCGACTGATGTGTCGTAGCTGCTGGTCGGAGAGTGGCTGCCTCCTGCTGTGCTTGTATCCCTGCAGGACCACGGGTCAAGGTCATGTCAAAGTCAGGATTTATTTCAGTCTTTACTTTTGAAATATTACTGTTGTACAAATAATAGACTAATAGTATAACTAATAGTGATATGCTTGTTAAAAAAGTAGCTTCAAATAAAAATACAACATTAAGTTTTTAAGTTATAATCTATCAGACGAGCACTTATTATCACTGTTATACTACTTTAACAGTTGGTCAAGAGTGAAGGTACAGTAATCTAAATAAACTTTTATTGGGCTTTTCTTAATGTTTGGTTAACGAATAGCTAAATTTTATTATCAATAGCAAAAGGTTTTTAGTATTTGTTGGCACACTTATTTGTTGGTTTTGGACGTTTCTAAGCAAAATTCATCTAAAAAGATGTCATGCTGGATTTAAATACATAACTGTGGTTGAATTTGTTTTTAACAAATCCTGTACACATCCTATAGGAACAACAAGAGAAACACACACCTCTGAGTTGCTACAGAAGCAGCAACATCCAGAGCAAACTGCCTCATCACGCTCTCCTCCAGGTACTTCTGTTCCCACTTGGTCATGTCAGCCTCCAGAGCCAGGATACGCTCCTCCTTCTCCCTCAGGTGCTCCATCAGGGCCGTGGCATTGTACTCAGAGGGAACCGCACCGTTGCTCTGAGAGTTGCCCTGACGCTGGGACAGAGAATTTAATCACGCTTAATACTCTACAAATATCTTTTACCTAAGACTATTAGACAACCTAGTGATAGTCTTAAAGGGGCAATATTATGTGTTTCTCAGGCAAATATTTAAATACTATACCATAATAAAGTATCTGTGTCACCTTTAGTTGTTATTAAAATGCTGTTTTTATGTCTAAATAGAAAATAAACTTGTCTTCTCATCACTTCCTCTTCTACACGCATTGAAATTGGCCTCTTTATCTTTAAGAACCACCTTCCGCTTCTGTCTCACCCATTTCAGTGC